CCCCAAAGCCCCAGTAGATAGTTGTATGTCATAGCTGCACATCCTTCCAGTTGCTGTATTTGGGACGCGGCCTCAGCATGGCTGGAGAAGCGGTGTGTCGGTGCGTGCCCAGGATCCGAACCCGGGCTGCCAGTAGCGGAGTGCGCACTTAACCGCTAAGCCACCGGGCTGGATCCGGAAATAAGAATCTTTATTCCAGCCAATAAACAAGACTTTGGAATAAAATACTTTAATTTGGTATGTGAGAGGACTAGAAGAGTTGGGCCAATATATTTAAATCTCTTTTAGAAGCTTTCTCTTTTAGAAATCTCTTTTAGAACTACTACAGTAGTTCAAGAATGGAGTGCATTTGAAAATATATGTATAAAATCAGTGCTAGTAGTTTCTTCTTTTTTTTTTTTAATGGTCCCTCATGTTTTAATGTCTTATCTATTGATCTTTTTTACATTGCTCAGATTAATCTTGTTTTGTCAATAATCTCTTTAGGGTCTTAGAGAAACTCTATGAAAATACTTTACATACATATTATTCTGTTACTTGATATAGGAAGAATGGTAACATAAATTTAAGCTGTAAAAATTTCTTTACCCGAGCTTCTCCAGCACTTTCCTCTATTACCATTTTCCTCACAGCAACTTCTAGGATGTTTCTGAAGTTCTGATATAGCTGATTTGAATGTTAGCAAGAGAATAAATGACTAATTGAGGCCTAAAATTATAAACAAATAACGACTTTGTTCAAATGATCATATTAGTTATCAATAGTTACTTTGTTTACAAAATGGAGACAGTAATAGTGGACTCTTAGGTTACATTAGATTAATAACAGAAGTAACTTCTTACACTGGTTTTTCCATGTTGGATGGTGTTCCCCCCCACCCCTCCCAACCTTGGAACTTGTTGACAAAATAGGGCAACTAGGTAGTGAGGATCTCTGGTTACCTTTGAAAAATTAACTGGTATTGAGAATACTCACATCTTCTGTTCTACCCATTTGTATACTGAGATAAGAACAGGTTATTAATGGATGATTTAGGATTTAGATGGAAAACATTTTTGTTCTTTTAGAGTTCCCCTCTGCCAAAGGCATTAAGTTGCCTAAATCACTTAAGATGAAGTTCTATAGAAGCATTTTGTAATGAACAGAACTTTATACAGTAAACTTTCTGTTTCCAAAATAAGGCAACAGTTATTCTTTCAGAACCTTTATTTTGGACCCTAACTTACCTCCTTGGGGGGTTAGAAGTATGTTACATGGCAGATTTTGTGTTAACTTAGCCGGACATGGCGTTATCGTACATTATATCCTTTCATCTCTACAATCACCTGGGAAGAAGGTAACAGCTTGACTCCTATTTTACATGAGGAAACAGGATCAGGAGATTTAGCGAGCGGTCCAGGGGGAAACAGCACAGCTGGTCTCGTGAGAGTGTCTCACGCCAACGGCAGATGATCTGTAAATGGGGGAATGAAGGAAATTAAGAAAAACAGAAGCTTCAAAGTAGGAGAGAAATTAGGCTATTTGAGGGTAAAATTATTTTAATACCTGAAACACATTTTTTTATAGTTCACACACTGCTTTTGATTCACACCACAATCCTATGAGATAGCATGGCAGATATTATTCTCATTTTACAGGTGAGGAAACTGAGGTCTGAGGAGTAAGTGTAGGTTGAGGAACAGAACACAGGTCTTCTGACCCTCACCCAGGCGTATAATTCTAAGCATATGGTGAAAGACGAGTCTAACAGAGTGGTTCTCAACGCTGGTGGGACATGTGACTCTCTGGGGAGCTTGGAAATACACTGGTGCCAGGGCCACATCCTCAGAGATTCTCACTTAATGGATCTGAGGTGAAACTTGGTCTGTGATGTTGCTGTGATTCTGTTATGCAGTCAGGATTAAGAGATAGCCCTCTGATGGACAGTCTGGTAGACGGAAGGTTAAGAAACCCGAGGGTTCAGACCAGTTGTGCAACTGCTATGGTACTTTGGGTGAGACTGCTTGAGTAAGAATAGACAGTCACATTCTACCTGCCTAAGAGTTACTGAAAATATAAAGAGAATTTTTATAAAAGCACACTGAAAATATTTTTTAAAAGACAGAAAAACATCACTACATGATCATTGCTGTTATCACTGGGGAAATATCAAAGATGTGACTTGGTTTAGTTTTTTGTTCTAGTATCCAAAATAGTTGTCACTGCTGTGTATGCAGATGATAAAATAATACTGAAGTTTATTTCATTTCTAATTGGATTCCTTTCATGAATCTTAGGAGATTATGTAAATCAAATTTAGTGATTAAAACAGCAATATGCTAAAATTGAAAATAGCAGCAAGGATCATGTCTTTACACCTTTATCCCTGGTAACTAACATAATACTTGTCACATAGGAGGTTCCCATTAAATATTAAACAAATTAATAAGCTGAGTCTATTCTGTGAGTTCCATAAAGTTACTGTAAAACATATTAGTATGGTTTTATGACATACAAATTTTGAATTAATACTTAGAGCAATTTCATAATTGTTAATAGTGAACTTTCTCTTAATACCATCTATTTTCTTGTAGGACCTATACAAATCAGCCTTCTTTTATTTTGAAGGAACATTTTACAATGATAAAAGATACCCTGAGTGCAGAGATTTGAGCAGGTATAGTTTCCAAAAATCTTCTCAAAGTCTTTCCTGTTTCTAGTTCTCAAAATAATGTTGTCTCCACAAATCCTATTATTGGTCTGTTAAGGCTCTTTGCCAAGGAATTATTTTGTTAGATTGTTTTGGGGTCAAAAATTCTCTCTCAATTTTTAAAATATTTTCAAAGTTATTTCATCCTAGGTACTAGTAATCAAAATTAATCAAAAAGTAATCAGAAATTAGTAATCAAATATATCAAAAAGTTAATAAAAAATTTTTACTCCAAAAAGAAAATTTTCCTACCAAAGATATACATAGACCATTTCAAGACCTTTGCCAGCTCTCTAGAATTATTTTTTAAATGTATTATCTGCTATTTTAGAAATTACAGTAAATCTTGTCTTGAACCTTAGATACAGCTAAAAAAAATTAAATCCCACTTACATACTTGATTAATCTCTGTTCTTCATATTTAGTTGACAGCAGTAAATTAATCTTTCACTAGTTTTTCTGCTTGTCCAGTGTATACTACTGTTTGCCCTAGGTAAGTGTATATATATACACATATGTATATAGTTAAGTACCTAACATGAAAAATCTGTATCTAATATGTTAATTCGACTATACTTTTGTTATCAGTGTCCTAGCAACTAGAGTATATATGCATATGTTTTCTGAGTGTTTATATAAATTCTTTCATCACAGCCATTTGTATCTGTGTTCTAATGTAGCAGTTCTCAAACTTGTTGGTCTCAGTGCTCCTTTAGACTGTAAATAATTGACTCCAAAGAGCTTTTGGTTATGTGGGTTATAACTCAATATTTACCATATTCAAAATTGAACTAAGAAATATTTTAAATATTAACTAATGTAAATAATCCCATTACATGTTAACATTAATAACATTTTGTGAAAAATAACTTTTCCAAAACAAAATAAAATAATGAGAAGAGGGGCATTGTTCTACATTTTCCACTCAATGTGAAGTGATAACACACACCACATAGCCTCCAGTAAACTGGGCATTTATGAGAGAAGAGTTGAAAAGGGCAAATGACATTTTAGGATTACTGGAAGGATAATTTTGACCTCATGAACCCCTGTGGGGGTCTCAGGAACCACACTTTGAGAACTGCTGCTGTAATGAGTGAAGAAAAATTCAAAGTTCCTAATTCCAACATGTGTCAGCCACTTCGATTTTCATGTTGGGATGGCAACTGTCCAGTAAATTGAGCAAGCCACGTTTTGTGAAATACTGCAGTCACACACCATTTTCTGTCACTTTTATGTTTCTGTGGAGCAATGATACATCTTTGCCTTTTTCCCCCCTCAGAACTATCATTGAGTGGTCAGAGTCCCATGATAGAGGCTATGGAAAGTTTCAGACTGCTAACATGGAAGATTTCACCTTCAATGACTTGTATATTAAACTGGGTTTTCCTTACTTGTACTGTCACCAGGGAGACTGTGAACACATTCTTGTCATTACCGACATAAGGTAAGTGGCAGCACTCAGAACTTTTTATTTGTTCATTTGTTCTTTTCTCCTTTTATTTCATGGTATATAAAAAGCACAGGTAGTTTTTCTTTTTTTTTTTTTTTTTTAAATAAGAGGAATAAAAGTAATCATCGCTGCAGCTTGGCTTGGGAGCAGCAAAAAAAGAAAAAAAAGAAGTTTGGTTTCCATACAATGACCAGCTCTGCATCTATTTGCATCCTCTGTTCATTTTTTGGAAAATCTATAATAAGTACTTTACTGTTAGGAGGTTTTAGATACTTTTATTTATTTATTTTTATTTATTTATTTATTTCCCCCAAAGCCCCAGGAGATAGTTGTATGTCATAGCTGCACATCCTTCTAGTTGTTGTATGTGGGACACGGCCTCAGCATGGCCGGAGAAGCGGTGTGTCGGTGCGCGCCCGGGATCCAAACCCGGGCCGCCAGCAGCGGAGCGCGCGCACTTAACCGCTAAGCCACGGGGCCGGCCCTAGATACTTTTAAAAGTATCTCCATTTGTATATTAGACAGCTGTCATTCAGGTAGTAGTCACCCACTTTGTCTATCATATAGGCCCTTTGCTTTACAAATTTGAAATTGTATTTCTAGGTTTGTCTTTTTGCCAAAATTTGAAGGAGATAAAAAGGAACTGGGGGAAGAGAAGAGTAATTCTAATATTTGACAAATGTGAAGTCTTAATACTTTGATAAAGATTTAAAGTGGGAAGAACTCAGTCTAAAATGAGATTTGGGGATTAGTCATAAATTGTGTATAGCTGGTATGTCTCTTCCTCATGAATAGGGCTATTCATTTCCTTACTTAGGAAATCTCAATTTATGAAGAACTAATATATAAGAATAAGCTCTGCTCTGTCCCTGGTTTGATTCCTTCTTAGAGGCCATTTTTAAGTCTTTTTGTGGAGCAATGATACACCCATGCTTTTATTATACCGGTAATAGGAACTGATGCTTTTAGGAAGTCCCTGCTTTTTACTTTTTTTGGGTCTCAGTGACCAGTCTCCAAAAATTTACCTCCTGTGCACGCATTCTCAGGATGCTACCAGAGGAAGTACTTCACATGAAGGCTAAACCTTAAAAAAGAAAAACACGGAATGCAAAGCAGAATAGATAAGATATAAAAGGAACTCTCAGAATGATGGGAAAAGGAAGTTTCAGAATGATGGCTGAGTAGCAGACCTAAAGAACAGTTTAGTCCAGAGACTGGAGCAGGATGGGGGACTCAGGAAGGACGTCTAGAACTGCTAGACCTGTTGGTGCGTAACCCAGGTGGACAGTACGTTTACCGCGGTCAGAGAGTAGGAAACTGAATCAGTGACAGGTACACTGAAACCTAGGCAAATGTAAACATGAGAATTAGCTGGAAAACAAAGTGTTACATCATAAGAGGAACCTGTAGTCAACTGTGTAGCTTAGGTGGAAGTAGGATTAACTCATCAGAATTTAAACATTAAATTCTGTTTAACCAGAGTTACATGTAGTTCTATAGAGGGATGCGGAGGAGCTAAACTGAGAAGAAACAGTTAAGAATGGAACACAGTTGCCCACAGGGAAGAACTGCTGCAGCGGGAGCCAGGAGAGCTCCTGCGCCTCACAGATCTGCACGACTTAGATGATGGACGTTTCCTCCTTTGACAGTGTGCTCTGTAAATGTTCTGTAAGCTGTTCCGCCTGCTCTTCCACTCAGTGAGGGGAACGTGCCTCCGAAGAAGCAGGAAAAGGAAGACAACCCACTTTTCCCTGGTGATCTTAGTTTGCTTCCCTTTCTCACAGTGTAGGCATATTGCTGTCCATCCAGTGTCATTCCTTACTTAAACTCAAGGTGGAGACACAATTTACACTTATTAAGCATTTGCAATGTGGGATTTTCCTAAGGAATTTTTTTAACCTAATTTAGACTACAAGTTATTTTTATCTTACAGGTGAATTTAATCATTCAGTGCCATTCTATAGTTTAATAGTTGGTAAACTGTTAAGCTTATTAATCATTTTCTGATGAAGTCGATAAATTGCTACCCTTTCTTACTAAAAAAAAAAAAATCGAACATTAGATTCTTATCAGTCCCTTCATTTTTCAGAAAAGAATCAGTGCATGGTTAAGGGATTTACCCAAGCCCACTCAGCCGACTAGTGGCATAGTGGAGATTGACTTCCACTTACAATTTCTTAATTCTGACACCGAAAACTAAAGTCCTACCAATTCACATTCTACCAGGTGCCAGATTTGGATTCTAATAAAGGGGACAGTAAACAACAAGAGCCATATTGTAACAGGTACCCAGTTAATCTACGTAAAATAGCTAGATAAAATAGTTAAATGAAATAGTTGCTCAAACTAAGTTCTATAAAAAAGGTACTAAGTATTGAGCAAAGCAAGGATTCTTTGATGGAATACCTTCAAGAAAAGCTGCATACAGTATCTCGCTCTTAGAGAGGCACAGTGCACATTATCATAAAGGGATTTGAGAAGTTTCACAGGAAAGAAAACATTGTTTAATCCAAAATGCTCTTTTGGACAACGTGTTTTGTGGAACACAGTTTGGTCAAACCCGGTGTAACAAGTCAGTCTGTTCCTAAATCTAAGCAAAAACTTGAAAATATACCTACTGTGTTCTTAATGTTGAGGTACAGATATATTTAATTCTTTACAGATCACAAAAACTGCACTTTAATATCTTATTTTCTCATGTACAAAAGGCTTGTGCATCGTGATGACTGCTTGGATAGGACACTTTATCCCCTTCTTATCAAAAAGCATTGGCTGTGGACCAGAAAATGTTTTGTTTGTAAAATGTACACAGCCAGGTAAGTGATAGCTATTTTTTCTTTGAGAAGTATTGGTTTTTAATCGTCAAGTACTTTTTTTCATTTTTGGTATTTCAGTTCTTTTCTATTTTCAATCTGAGGCCTTACACTTTGGGGTATAAATAATACAAAAGGGTTTTATCTAGCAGGGAAGTGCTGCAAATCAGTTTAGTAGTTACAACCACATTTTAAACAATAAGGAAATGAATTACTGTGTACAGTGGAAGTCCAGTGGTAGTTCAGACTGTAGTTTGGTTGATACAATGCTCAGTGTCATCAGGGGGCCATTCTTTCTGGCTCTTGTCTACAGTTTACAAAATCAGCTTCTCTTCAGTGAAAAACTAACACATCTCATATATAATGAGGTCAAAATATGGTTTTATAAAATTCTTGCTTTATATGATTCTGCTTGTTTAGATTGGTTTTTAACTGAGGATCAGAGTAATAAGAAACCATTAAGAGGTTTCTTAGTGTCATCAATTTGTTTTGGGTTCCCCACCACAGTATTGCTTTTCTAAATGATTAATAGGAAAACATGATAAATTATTTATAAGATCAAAATGGAAATCAGGGAATGTTAAAACATTCCATGAGATGCAGAATTAAGGTAGACTGAAAAACAGCATTTTCCTCTTACTGTGAGCTAACATCTCAGGCCAAACAAACCAAAATCTCAGTTGAGTAATATTACCCATATTCCCATTTGTATACACGCTAACATTTTATCAGCTGGAGTTTTCAAATTAACCAGTAATAATTTACCAGTTAGAAAGATAAATTAAGTGAAAGTTTATCAGGTCTGTAGCCTCTAATTTATTTTGGTTTTTCAGGATGCCCTATTAGAAAAAAATGATTATCTTCACATTAACAGTTACTTGGAAGATAGGTATGCCATGGCAAGTGTATGATGCTTTCAAATATGGATTTATATTATTCTCTACTTACCTTTAAGAAGTCTTTCAGAGAAACAGCATTCTGCAGTGTTTCTGTTAATTGTCTTTTTGCCTTGGGGAGTATTGGTAATGATATGTCTGTATCTATATATGTGTACAAAATTATATAAAGGCCTTTGGGAATGTTGTGCTTACATGTTACTATACAGTGTGTTAAAGCATGAGAAAGTTGATTGTAATGCTGTACCTTTTTTTTAAAACTACAGATGGGTGACGAACAATGACAGTTTTGCACCAGAGGACCCGTGTTTCTTTTGTGATGTTTGCTTCCGAATGCTTCACTATGATTCAGAAGGCAACAAACTGGGAGAATTCCTCGCTTATCCTTACGTTGATCCTGGAACCTTTAATTAATAACAGTGTACCCTTGTAAAATAACTGTACTCTTGCATGGTGCTTTTATTTCCAAGAACGCCACTAAGGAACAGGATCCACCCAAAACAATCAGCTCAAGTTACCTGCCCCGTGCCCCCCAACCACCTAAAGTTAAAATCAGAGACTTATAAAGTAACTTGATTGTATTTAAATGTTTAGAAATATAGTTATTTCAGTATTTATGCCAAAGTATAGTTTTTATTTAGTGCTTTTTGCCCAATTTTAAGTGAGTTGTTTATCTGAGTTGTAGCAGTGCTTTATATAGTTTGAATACAAATCCTTTGTATACATGTATTCTGAGTTTCTCCCAGTCTTTGGCTTGCCTATTCATTCTATATCCAGAGTGCTTTTTACTCATCTATCATTAGCAAATTCAATTAATGATACATCAAGTGGTGGAAGTGTTTTGAAAATTCTTTGAAGAATGTGAGACCTACACCTTAGACCATGAGGCTTCCAAGGTAAAGATGCTTCAAATATCTGTAATGAAAATAAGGGAGAAGTTAAGAATAAAAGATTATTTAATAAATACAATATTAAGAATAGCTATTACGTAATTTAATGTCACAGTGGGCTCTTTTGTAATGTTAGGTTTTGTTTTGGTAGAAACTAGGCCCACTAAACATTTTAATGAAACTCACTTCAGAAATAATGAATATAAAAAGATCTTGAATAGATACTCATATCTTCACAGAAGTACCATTTAAATTGAAGCTTCTTGACAAGAACTTCTTGTGAATCACAAATGCTATGAGTTTAAAATGTACATTAACATTTTTATGATTTAAAAAAAAATTACAGATTTTATGTAATATGACCACTGAGACACAGGAAGTCAAGATCCTATGGATTGCTAGCTCTGGACACTTATTCTTGGGCAGCAATACCCAGTATTCTGTTTGTAAAAAGAAAACACACAAGTTTTTCTGGCTCAGCTCTTCCATTCTTCTGGCCCTCTTACTATGATAATCCTAGTTAATGCTCTTCTGTCATTCTGGGCCAAGGGGCCACCTTGATAAATTCCAAAGCCAAGCTCATCAGAGAAAACTATAGCTATCTATATGAAATGTTTTCCGGAAAACTTTTTTGGTGGAAGATTTAATTCTAAGACTTTTAGAAATGCTGTAAAATAGTTCATTTTAAATGTGTCATATTTAAATTTCACATTCTCTCTTCTAGGTTGTCTTTAAATTTGACTGAATTCCACATTTCCTGGATGTCTAAGAACATTTACCATATAAATCAAAAACGGATTAAGCCTATAAACCTATGTGTTTGAAACGTTGACAGTGAAATGTTTTATGGACTCAAATGCCACATATCCAGTTCAGCCAACTGGTGTGTAGAGGACAAGCACCTGTTTCTGGTATGTCTAGTGGTGTTCTCATTCACTGACTCTGTCAATACACTGGCTTATGTTACTGCCTAAATTTTTACTTTCTTATTTCCAGTGATGCTAAATTGAACAGACTGAAAATTCTCCTGGAAAACCATAGATTTACCCAATTTCTCAAAGTTCCACAGGTAGAAATGAATTTTTGCTTCCTTTATTTTTAAACTGCATTCCTTATAGGTCTTGCGTTAGTATGCAAGGGTCTGTGTACTATCATTTTTGTCATTTCATATCCTCAAAATGACAAATCCTGGAAAGTGAACTGACATAATGGAAGCATTAATCCATGTGTGGTGCCAATCAGTTCATTTTAGTAGACAAAAGACTGTTAAAACATTACTGCTATTGAAATTCTTGTTGTATCCTTTATTGAGAATATTATCCTGCTGTTCATTAACTTTTTCACTGAAGTTACAAAGGCTCAGATATCTTTCTGTCATTTCCTGGTGAAATCTAGAAAGGAAAACCTAACCAGGTTACTCCCAGAATTTGCCAGTGTATCAGTTATACAGGTCTCCCACCAAGTACAAGTCAAAAGAAGCTCCTAAATTTGAAATAGGCATAAAAGATGTCTTGAATGAGGGATTTTATACCTGCGAAATTCAATATTAAACACAACATGACTGTTAAAGTACAAGTATCAATTTATCTACGAAGAAAAGCAATTATGAAAATGTGAACTTACCAACATCCTCTGTAGTTAGAAACGAATTAGATTTTGATTAAATAGTGGATGGTCATGCACAAAATCACTACTTAGAAAAGCAATACCCATTTCCTTAAACATCCTTTTCAGGCTTCAGTATCCTCAAAGGATAATTTGACCTTTCTCCCAATCAAACTGCAGTCTTTATCATCTCTAAGGTTAGAGAATTACACAGCACAAATATAAAAACATTTCTGCCCATAAAGTAGCTTCTTCATTTCTTAAGGTGTAATGGGTTTGCTGTTTCCAATAGATCATAGTTTCTCTAGCCAATGGAACAAAATAGGTTGTTGGTGAAGCCCTCACAAAGCCTTTGCTTTTGTATAGGACTAGATGGCAGACCTCATCTTGACCTGACATCTTCAGCCAGGTAAGTGTGTGTGGGTATGCCACAATCAGTGTACCAGCAAAAACTGAGTAAAATCTATCATCCTACTAAACCACAGGATATAACAATTGTAAGGTTTTCCAAGCTGTTTACACGTACAAACCCGCATTCAGGTTCTCCAATTCAGATAGTACATCTGAAATTTCTCCAGAGCAGCTGAGAAAACCTTCAACAATCGATTCTGCTGGGTCATGCATAACTTACTCTTTTAAATGTTATCCAGTGGGTTAAAAAGCAGCATGAAATAGGTGTTGTTTATACATACAAAATAAAGTTGTGTGTTTTTTTGCTAGCTATCTCATTTAAATTATCTCTTAGTGACTTGTTCAGCTGTGGCGTTTTGACCAAATACACAATTTAA